CCACATTCTTCTAGCTCTGAGCACCCTGCTTAGTGGGTCTGCAATGCCCATGCCCCTCACAGGGACTGCACATAGCAGGTGCTCCATAAATTCTCCTCTCCCTCCAAGAACAGTACATGCCTAACTCACAGGCCCTGTATACAGGATGGGATGCAGGGCTCAGTTCAGCATACACCAAGGTCTTTCTCCTGCTTGTTCCCCTGAACAGCAGGACCTGTGAATTCTCCTGGGTTCCCCACCGCACCCACTCGCCCACGTCTGTGGCTGAACACGAAGCAGGTGCACAGAACAAGTGGCTGAATGGAACTTAACCCTCCTCTTCCCCAGCTGGGCTGAGCACAGTGAATAGGGGTCACTCAGGTGAGCTGGGAGAGGGCAGCCACCTTGTGTCCTTGAACTCCACCTGATGTGTAGGCTCAATTAGAGACCTGGTACTGACAGCCCAGCCCTCAGGGCTCAATCATTGTGTGGTGATGGATTAGCAATGTCTGCCAGGGAAATATGAGGGAGGGAGGCAGCGCTGCCTTGGTTCCCTGCACCTCCTCCAATTTACACAAATAGAAAAGGAAGCCCAGAGGGGCCAAGGCATTGGCCTAAGGACTCAGAGCCAGGGAAGGATGCCAGACTCTTCCCCTGACCCGAGGCTCTTCCTCAGTACCAGTGCTTCTCAAACCTAAGCCTGCACCAGAATCACCCCAGCCCTGGTTTCTGATTTCCAAGTGTGCATCTCTAAAGAGCTTCAAGGGGTCACTCCTACTGCTGCTGCTGGTCTAGGAAACTGACTTGGAGAATCCCTGCTCTACACTGACCTAGGTGTAGAGAGCCTTAATTTCCTTCCTTTAAAAAAAAAGTGAGTAGCATGTGTTTGCAATAGATAGTCGATATATATATTCATTATGGGGAATCAATCGGTACATATGTGGATCGCATCTTGATCCTTTTTATTTCCCCTTCTCTTCCTCTCCTTCTCATCTCCCCCATCCCCAGATCCTTTCCCATCTCCACAAAGTCTATTCAATTTTCTTTTCTTGAAAATGGGTACAACCATACCCCCCTGCGTTCCTGGGGCTGTAGTAAAGGCAGATGAGGAACATTTGCGTCCACATCCTGGAGAGTTAAAGCAGGATCCTCAGCCTCAGCCACGCACTGGAATCACCTGCTGGACTTTAATAAGCTCTGCTGCCCAGGTTGCAGCCCAAACCAACAAAACCAGAATCTCTGGGGCAGATCCAGTGATCCTTGCTTTCTAACCCTGCCTGTCCTCCAGGTTTTGGAGACAGAGGGGCAATCGAGTTGAAATGCAGATTTACACTCAGCAGGTCTGGGACAGGGCTGGGACAGGGCTGGGAATCTGCATTCTTAACAAACACCTGAGTTGGTGATCCTGCTGGTCTGGGGACCACACCTTGAGAAGCAAGGCCCCAGAGGGGAGGAAGCTGCTGCCTCACCTCCAGGGCCAGGCACACTGCAAGGCATTTCAAGTCCACAGTTAACGGTTTGTCCTAATACTTGCAAGCCCTCCCTCCTTCCCCCACCGCCCTGTGCTTCAGGCGCGGTATCCTGACTGCAAGGTTCCCGTCCTCTCTGAGCCCTGACTTGGGAGGGGGACACGTGGGGACCACTCCAGAGCTCGCTGCCCAAGCACAGCCCCTGCAGGCCCTAAGCCGCCTTACCAGGCAGCTGCCATACACGCCAGGCACCACCGCTGCTCCCTTCATCTCCACTCTGGTCTTTAGCAAACAGCGTCAGATGTGATGGACTTCTTGTTTGCAAACCCAGCCTCCAGGCTGAAATCAACATCTCCCTGTCTCCTCTTGCATCCTTCGCTTCCCCCTGCCGTTTTGCCCATGATTCCTCCGTGTCGGTTTCCCACGAGGTATTTCAGGTAATTCATGCATGTATTGAACGCCTACTGTGTGCGGGTGTGTGTGTGTGTGTGATAATTTTCCCTCTGACCTTGAGCAAGTCACATGGGGGTCCGGACCTTGCTTTAATAACTATGGTGCTCAGAACCCAGCTCATGCCTGGCAAGTGGTGAGCTCTGAACTGGCATCGCTGAATGAATGTATCTGAATGGATGAACTAGCGACCTCTTGGAGCCTCAGTTTCTTTACCTGTACAATACAATGGTAAGGATTGTTTCATGAGTGGGGTGAGCTGTGGCATTACTGGGGAGGCCTCTGGGCTCCCGATGCATAAACCGAGGCCAACATGTGCAAGTAGCAGGTCATGGAACAATTGGAACCTGAGTCTGCCACACCTGGGAACCTCCATTCGAGGCAAGAATCGTTTGCCTTTGGAAGAAGAGTGGCTGGGCCAGAGTGAATCTGGGTCCAGGAGCTGAGGCCAAGCAGGGCCCTGGGGGCTGGAGGGAGCGCAGCCAGAAGCAGCCTGGCCTTGGCAGAGGGACGTGGCCCAGGAGCCAGGCCAGTTGCTGGCACCTTTGAGGACGGACTGTGAGGACGGGGAAGCCAGAGTCAGGTGTGAGCCTTGGGATCTGTTCTGAGAGGCCGGCCAGGCAAAGTGGCCGATGGTCCTGAGCTGGGCTGGTGGCTGGCTCGGAGGAGTCCAGTCTGGGGTCACCTTCCCAGCCAGGCCTTCAGAAGGACACTGTCACTGCCCACTCTCCCTCCAGCGGCCCTTCGTGTCCCAGCCACTGGATCATGGCAATCACGTCTCCCACTGCCTGCACTGTCCCAGGCCACCTCGCGCCCGGTGTCCTTGATCATGGCCCAGACTGGGAGGCTGGGACTGTGTTGCATTGTACCTGGCTCATCCTGGCTGCTTTCTGGCCAAGGGTCTGGCTCTGCAGGTGCCCCGGGTCTAGGACAAGTGAGCAGCCCCTGGGGAGCCTGCAAAGGCATGTTAGTTCTTCTCCTTCTCCACACCCAGGGATTTAGGCCCCACCCATATTCCCCGGGGACAGGCATAATCTCTAAAACTTCAACTCTGTGCAACACAGCAAATTTATGATTCCAAGCATTCTGAGCTCAAGGCGCCCAAATTTTGTGATTACAAATTTATTTAATCAGGATTCTTTCAATTCCAGGTGACAGGAAACTTGTTCTTCCTGGCTTTATAGCCATAGAGAATTCCGAGCGTTAAGACTTCAGGTGTAGCTTGATCCAGGAGCACAAGCCACAACTCTCTGTCTCTCTATTCGTGGTGTCTTTATTCTTTTAATTGATGTTGTGGCATGATGGTTGTTGGCATCACAAAGCCTACATCCCTTCAGGTTCAAGTTGTGCAGGAAAATAGTCTCTTTCGCAGCAATTTGACAAAAGCTTTATAACTGAGTCCTCCTTTGCGTGGATTTACTATGAGGCCAACCCTGGACCAGTCACTATGGCCAGGGGGAGAGAGGGGTCCCTGACTGGCTTAGGCCTGAGTCACACTTACACCCCTAACCCAAGCCAAGTGCCTGGGAAGGGAAGGGTAGTATTTCATTGGAAACTGGGGACCTCTATTAAGGGGGACGAGGTAGATGAAGAAGGGTAAAATAAAACATTTCAGCACTGGGATCCTAGGCCAGGTTGAGCCATGATGTGAGGAGAACTTGACATGAAGATTTGAGGAAACTCCAAACCCAGAACTTGAACCATGTGTGGTGCTCGAAGAAGGTGGGACTGAAGGTGGGAGGAAAGTCCCCTCAACTCCCTGCCTTCCCACAGTCAACCCAACCACACGGCCCTTTACTTCCTTTGCCCTCAACTCCCAGAACCTAGGTGTTCTCTTTGCCTTTCTTCTTTGTTGCTATTCTGCAGTCAGTGTGGCCAAGGTTCAGATGGGGACAGCGGAGACTGAATCAAAAGCTCCTCAAGGAGCAGCTGCAAGGAAGGAAACGGGGAGAACTTGTCTAGTGGTTTTAGGGGACAGTCAGCTTCACTTTGAACCTGAGAGGGAAGATGGAGGCATAAATGCAGCGTGAAAGATTGAGGGTGTGGTCTGGATTCTTCGCTCTCCTGGAGCGGTATTTGCATCCACATGCTTCCCAGGCCACACGGTGAGCAATCTACTTCCTCCCGACTTGGCTTTGGCCTTGGCCAGGTGTCTTGCTTTGGCCAATGGGATGGGACCGGATATAATGAGAGAAGAGGCCTGAGATGGTTTATGTGGTCGAACTTGCCCTCGCCCTCCTATCATAGCGGGAAAGGAACATAAGCAGGGTGGCCTTGACCCCTACATGACACACAGGAGCAGACTGGAGCAGACTCGCCGCCTGCTGCAGAGCCCCGGCCAGCTGGAGACCTGGATGCAAAATACAAATGCTATTGTCCAACACCACTGAGACTGAAGTGGCTCATTATGCCGCCCTGCAGTGGCACAGGCTGCCCGAGAAGGACTGGAGGCTCTGCTCTCCGTCAGCCCAGCCCTGCATGGGGACTTTGGGGCCCCCCAGGGTGGGGAGCTGGGACCCGGGGTCCTGCAGGCCCCACGCGTGCCATGCGAGCATGGGGAAGTCATTCTTTGCAGGAGCCTCAATTCTCTCATGTCTAAGACGAGGGGGTCTGGACCCAACCTACGACCTTTAGGAGCCAGATGGCCCTAGCACTCTGGGGTCACGATGCGCCTGTCTCCTGGCCTGGGAAGTGGCCCCCCTGAGACACTTCCTGTGCCTTCACATTTCCGTGCGCCACGCTACAGAGCGCAAGTCACAAGTCACGCTGAGATCAGCACAGAAGTTGATGTGTGAGGTCAGGTCTGGGAGCAGAGGGAGGAGTTGCAGGCTCCAGGGTTGGGGGTGGTCCCTCCACGTGGAGGGAGAAGCTGAGTGGGAAGATGAGGGATGTGTCTGCTCCCGGCAGAGAAGCAGGGGGAGGGCGTCTCAGGAGAGGGAATGGGGAGACAAAGGGCTGAGAGGCACCGGGGGCCCCAGGTTTGCGCCGTGATGGGGCTGCGGGGTGGGGGATGGGAGCACCAGATGACGGGTAGGGGAGGCCAAGGAGGAGGAAAGGCCCGCAGCGCCCCTAGTGTCAGGGCTGCGTCCTGTGGGCAGTGGGCGGGGCCTAGAGTGCTTGGAGCAGCCGACCTGTCCCAGGGACAGCAGGACGGACGCTTTGAAGTAAGTGATTCGGTAGGAAAAGGCGAGCTTCTGGCTAAGGCAGGTGAGGAGGGGGAGGCTAGGGTGTGAAGGTGGGTTTGTCTGAGTCACCGTGTTGGAGGGGACTGGCTGAGCTGCAGATGGAGCTCATGAACCCCATCCTCCTCTTACCTCCTAGACTCGGCTGCAGAGTGAGATGCATTGGCTGGGAATCAGACCTGGGTCCAAATCCTGGGCTCAAATAGCTCTTCTACATACTAGCTGGGTGATGTTGGACTAGTGACTTAATCTCTCTGTTACTTCTTTTGTGAAACAAGGGCTATAACATCCACCTTCTGAGGACGTAGCGGAGATTAACTGTAACACTAGTTGGCATTTACTGAGCACTTATGTCTGGGTGCTGATCTTGTCTCTTGTCGTACACCCCTGACTCCTCAGCATAGCCCCAGGAGGTAGGCACAACTCTGAGCTCCCTTCACAGAAAAGGAAACTCAGGCACAACATGGTTAGGAGATTGCCCAAAGTCACAGCCCGAAGTGACATAGCTTTCGATGTACTCAAGTCCACCTGACTCCAAATGCTGGCTTCTCAACCACCAGCTTTGAACACCCCTTCATTATTCACAGATTAAACATGATGGCTGTCACAAGCCCCCCATGGACAAGGTGATATCTCTGTGTCCAGGTCCCACGTGTAGTGATGTTGTTGCATTTTCCTGATTCTATTTTCCTGCTTTTGCACAACGTCAAGCACCCACGGAACCTGGGCTGCCAAGATGCATAGGGAAGGAGCCAGGCTGTCAGTCCTGGGTGGGGAGATGGCATCAGCTGGAACAAAGCATCTGCCAAGTAACCCATCCAAGATGAAAGGGGCAGATCGCCCCACCTCGGGGTCTCTTGTCCCATGTGTGGTGAGGGGCACAAAGGGACAGGAAGGGTGGCCTTGAAGCCATCTGGGACTTTCAAACACCTCTCTGAGCTATGTTTTTCTTGTCTGCAAAAGGGAGATGATTATCCTCCAAGGGTGGCTGTGAAGATTAAAGGAGATGGTCCATGTAAAATGTTTGGTCCAGGGTTTGTCCCGCAATAAGTGCTCAATAAATGTTTACTGTGGTCATTATCAAGGGAAGGAAAATGTGTAATGGAGGGAAGGTAGAAAGTTTGAAAGCATGGGGGAGAGAGAGAAAAGAAAACAAGGAGGAGAAAGAAGAGGAGGAGGAGGAGGAGGAGGAGGAGGAGGAGATGCCATCAGCCCACCCTCCAGGCACAGTCAGCTATGCTGGCCTGGGCTGCTCCCCTATGTGGTCACTAAGACTGCTCATGCATTCCTTCTGCATTCTGCTGCCACATCTGCCAGAGGTGGCCCTGGTTGCCAGCAAGAACAGCTGTCCCTTGATGTGCTCAGCTGCAAAATGAAGACCTGGAATGTTGAGAAGGACAAAGAAGCTCAGGCAAAAGACAATGCAGTCAGGAGGTAACCATACCACCACCATCACTGTTCTGGGCCTCATTTGTGAAGAGAGTTAGGAGCCATCCTGGCTGTGCCTGGCAGGCTGATCCCACGCCATGTCTGTGGCCAGCAGCCCTGGCCCCTGCATCCTGTGCTGGAAAGAGTGAGTGTGACTCTGCCCTCCTGGCCCCGGGAAGTTGCCTGCCATTTTGCAGGATGGCCCGTCTGCTTTCTAAGGAGGAAGCTCATCCCACAAAGCCAATTTCCAACTGGCATGTGCGCTCTGTCTTGGAACATTCCCCTTGGGAGTTATTTCCATAAGGACGAACAGGGAGATGAGTTTAGTTGTATCTGATACCTATCTGATACCAATGATGAGATCAGAGGGCCAGTCAGGAGCACTGAGGATGGAATTGCATGGGGACTCACGTTCATCAGGGAGAGGTAGAGGGATTGATATGGCATCTATGGTATTGGGCAAACTGGTTCAAATCCTCTCCATCCCTGACTATCAGTGGCCCTAACTGAGTCCCTTAACCTCTCTGATCCTTGGTTTTTCCATCTGTAAAATGGGACAAATAGTATGGCAAAGAACTTGGGCTACAGAATCAAACTGCCTGGGTTCGTGTCCTCAGTACTCATGTCCTCTGCTGGGTGATCTGAAGCAACTACTACTCTCTGAGGCTCAGTTTCCTCATCTGGAAATGAGGACAATAGATGACCCGGCTCAAGGGTGGTTGTGATGAAGTTTGGATGAAGGGGTGCACATATGAGGCCTGGCAATCAATAATGTGGCAGATGGGCCCGGGATGGAGCTCATGGCGCAGCGCCTGCCTGGCAAGCACAAGGTCCTGAGTTTGATCCCCAGTACCTCAAAAATAAAAAGTGGCAGATATTAGTAGCATCCCTTGCTGCCTAGAAGGTGTTTGAACTGCCAGGACAATGCCAGTCCACCCACCAGACCTTCACTCCAGTTTGGGGGCCCTGACGGCAGTGTTTTTGGCATAGAGCGTGCTCCACCCCACTCACACTAGACAGGCGGGGTTAGGAGCTGGCACCGGGCTGGCCGTCAGCGCCGAACAGATTCTGGGGAAATGCCAGAAAAAACTATCTCTTGCTGTCACTGCAGAGGCCCAGATGGGGCCTGGTGTCAGGGTTCAAGCTGACCTCTCTGCTGGCATTGGTGGCTAACCAGGCTTGGGGGTTGGGGGGGAGCTGCCAGGGGAGGAGATACCAGGACACCAAGGCCAGAGGGATCAGGGCAGAGTGGGAGACCCGGGACTGGGATTCCATGATGAGTCATGAAAAGCTCATATACCTGTGCACCTGAGCCTCAGGTATTCCCAAGGGAAGGGCAGGGAAGAGAGGACCTGCACCAGATGCTTACACTCTAACGGCTGACGGCCCCGCCGGGCACTCAAAAGCCAGGTCTAACTGAATTATTCTTGACCCTGGACCCTGCTCAAATCACTCACTCCCAGCATTATCCCCTCTGCAAGCTTTCAGCTCAATGGTCTGCTCCTGCCACTCCTCTCTCCACCCTCACCTAACTGAAAGGGACACCGGCCACTGCCCACGGTTCTGAACCTGCCCAAGGACAAGGCTGGCCCGGGGACTTCTACCCAGCCCATCCCAGAACTTCTGAAGGAGATGATTTTTATTTTCTGTCTTGGTAAAAAGGAATGTGGTTTCTTTTACTGCTGCAGAACCAAGATCCATGACTTTGGCTTAACTATTTATTTACTTGGTCTCGTGTTCTTCCTGTCAATCTGCCACATTTACCACCTCTGCCATTTGACTCTGAAAAACTGGAAATCCCATAGCCCCACAGGCTCCTAGTGATTCTAAACACAACCTCCTGGAAGATCCCAGTCGGGGTATCGGAGAGCATATCTATTCTCATGTACTCACTTGGCAAATAGGAACAAGGGGTCCGGGATAGAAAGGCACCAAGATCAGAGCAAATGAGAGCAAATCTGAGGTTGGCATCCTGCTGTCCTAACTGCTCATCCATGTCATTCTCCATCACCTCCCACTTCTCTGGGGGTCATGGAATCTCCTTTCAGGTCTTTTTCTAGGTGGACCACAAGCAACGCCGTTATTTCCAGCTCACTGTACCACTCACCATACTGTTTCTGCGTGGCTTCTTCCCCCACAAGGAGGTGTGGCCTCTGTCCCCAGATGACAGGTAAGTAAATGAGCCCAGAGACGTGAAGTGATTTTTTTTCCAAACCATAAAGTTAGTATGTGACTGAGCTGAGATTAAAACTATAACTTTTAGGGGTATTTCTGACCTCCCCCTGCAATACGAGTCCTCAAGGAATCTACTTAATATTGTCAACCTGGAGCTATAATCTCCCCCACAGTGGGATGGTCCTTGGTTAATGTCACATCATCCAGATCTCTGGCAGGGCCTTGACCCTACAATGAAAAATGTGATCTTGCATTGGCTTTTACTCTTGATGATCTCAGCAATACTTGGTCTTTTGCAGATATTGGGGTGAGAGCAAAGGCCCGTAGAAACACGATGGAGGCCAAGGGGGCCACTTTCTCGGGAAAGGATTGTGCAGCAGCATGAATATTGATTAAGCTGTAATTGCCTCCCTCTTTCTGAGCCTGGGCATCTGTAGGCCCAGGCACTGGGGCTAATTGTTGCAGGCAATTAATAACTTGGATTCCATTCACTCTGGCACAGGCTGCTGCTTCCTTGGAGGGGAAGGCAAGGCTGGGAAAGGAGTACTAGGCCGGCTGCTCAAAGAATTCTGGTGGAGGTGGGAGGAGGGGTGCCCATCTGTCAAGCTTCCCCTAGGCCCTGTCTACAACACCCCTACCCCAACCTGACTCTATTTCTCCTCCCCAAACCTCTCTCTCCCTCTTTTGAATTATTTGCCTCTCTCTCCTTTTCCCCCATAAGCTCACTCTTTTCTACTGAACAGAGCTTCAGGAAGAGGGGGTTAGAGAGGGGAAAGATGGAGCTTGAAGCTCAGGCCTGGAGCCTGGGAGGCCTGACATCCAACCCAAGCTCTTCTACTAGCTTGTTGTGTGGCCTTAAGTCAGAAACTCATTCATCATGAACTTGGGCAAGTGTCCCACTTTTTATATCCACTGTGTCCCAGGAAGTGTAAGCAACCCTGGAAGTCACTGGAACAGGATTGAGCATTCTACCATTGATCTTTCCAACTTTGTGTAACTATAATTACACAGACAACTCACAATCAAACTGTATAAATGTGTCCTCCCTCTGCAGAAAAGATGATCCCAAGTGTATTAGGGTAGAGATCTTTATTAATCCCATTCTGCAGATGAGGAAACTGAGTCTCAGAGAAACAAAGTGAACCACCCTTGGTCATACAGTCGATAAGACACATATAAAAATCAACTCTAGTTTCCTCAGTCCAGAAATCTTTGCACCTGACTGTGTCCCCTGGCTTTGAGAGAAGGTCAGACTGGGATGGGGATCAAGACCCTCCAGAACCAGTATGTTGGCAGGTGGGAGAGGGAAACACTTAGAAATGTAGTTATTATATTCCCTGATGCTGGGACAATATCATCACCCACCATACTCTTAAATAAGATAAACACTCCCAGGCCTCCCTATAAGCTCAACCTCAGCTGCTTAGCCATCTGGTGGCGAGGGGCTTTGAATCACACAATCCCCCTCACCAGGGGGCAAAGAAGGATATTATCATCAGCTTTTGGCCAGCAGATGCAGATAGTACAAAGAAAGTGCTAATAGTTATCCAAAGCTTAGCATGTACCATGCATTGTGTTAAACGCTATTTTTTTCTACACAGGGATTATCTCATTTAATGAAATCCTTATAACCATGACTACTAGATAGGTACTTCTACTATCCCCATTTCATAGATGAGACAACTGGCCTCAGCAAGCAAAGACCAGAGACTGAGCCCCAAGAGGCCCTTCTCCAACACTCCTGGAGAGAAGACAGAAGGAGAAATGGATGGACAGGAGCTGAAGACAAAGCAGCCCTTCATGGCTCAGACTTCTCACAAAAGAAGGCCTCTCAATAGGCTGTGAAGACAGGGGATAAGGGAAGCCGATCATTGGCACCATGAGGCATTTAAATCAAATCCAGGAAGAACTGCCATAAGACGGCACTGGAATGGGGAGCCAGCGGGTGTGAGGCTGCATCATGCAGCCTCTCAGCTGGGCACTTTGGCCCTTTGGCCACTGGAGCCAGCTCTGATGGTCACCTGGAGGTGACAGGGCTCAGGGAGGTGTCCTTGAAGTGGGACAGGGATGGCTGAGTCCAGCATTCCCATGCTCTGAAATGAGCTTTGCAGGCAAAGCTTGCAGCGGGGTGGGGGAGAGCCCCAGGAGAAGGATTCTCACAATTTTCCATACCCACATCTGCTTCATTGACACATCCAGCTCCTCTTTACAGCAGGCATATTTCAAAGGCCTGGTTCCATTTGCATTTTTAAAACCCTGCTGATGGCCTAGGAAAATCACATCCTTCCCATGTTCTCAGGTACCACATTCCCAACTCCACCCCCGACTCCATGGGCCTCTGGACCCTCCCTTTGAAGCAGATCCCTTACCAAGGGACCCCTCTGGTCATTTGGAGGTCCCTAGAGGCTAGGGGGGGCTCTCAGGAGGGTGTGGCCAAGATGGCCACAGCTATGGGCAGCTGGCAGCAGGAAGGTGATCAGAGCCCTGATCAAATCCACTAAAAAGACTTCCCGGGGGAGTGGGGCTGGGTCCCCAGGGGTGGGCTGATGGTGGTACAGCATCATGGGGCCACAAATGGGGTGTCCCGTGGAGTCACGAGACTACAAAGAACATCATGAGTGCCTTGGACAACTTGGAGGAGGCTTCTGGAAGCAACCTGAAAGCACACTGAAAAGAATAAGCCATTCACCCAGCGAAGCCAACCCTTTGCTCTCAGCTGGGCTTGGGAACACAGTTTGTGTCTCCCCATTGCTCTCTTAATAATAAAGCTTTTCCTTGTTCTCCTTCTTCCCACCCTCCCTCATGGCCCCTTGTTCTCTGCCTTCCTCTGGGGTATGGGGTCAGGACTGGAAGTTTACAGGGCAGTGCTGGCTGATCTTCTGGATCTCTATGTCATATCCATTCTCTGTTTTGGGGCAGCAACACTTCACTCTCCACCTCTCGGTCTCTCTCTCTCTCTCTGTCTCTCTCTCCCTCTCTCTCCCTTCCTCCCTCCCAGAATGGCACCCATCATGCCAGGCACTGCCCCCACCCCCAGTGTCTTCAAAGCTGGATGAAGCCACTGGGGAGTCCTCTGACAGACTTGGTCAGGCTGGCAATGGATCCCCTGACAATTGGAGCACATGGAAGTGAGTGCCAGGGCAGGGACACTCACTCAGGCCATTTGCTTCTGCATAGATGAGCTCTGGAGGCACCCTGGGTCATAAATACCAATGTACCCACCTGGCAGCCAGCCAGTGGATAACTCTAGGGACTGAGCACCAAGGGAGAGCAGGAGCAGCAGGTGAGTGGCAGATCAGACGCTCACGGGCACTCTGCCCCCCCCCCCCAGCTTTCCTCTTAAAAATAAGGGCTGGGTGTTGGGAGAGGGACTAACATGGCTGAGCCCCTGCGGGTTGGGCTTGGTATTACATTTCACAACTCTCCTGCCTTCTTCTCTCTTCCATGAGCTGGAAGCTTCTGAAGACAGAAACTAGGTCTCACCCATCTCTCTGTCTCCCTAGTGCCCCCATCCGCACACTCTGATGCTATGGGATCAATTCCTGGCTCCCCTTACCCAGCAGTTCCTACAGCTGGGGCTGGCAGCCAGCCCTCTTGCGGGGCATCTCCTTTGGCTCTCCCTGGGTGACTCCAGTGCCAGTGGCCTGTGAGCTCTGATGGGGAGGAATGGGCCGTACCCTTGGCCTTGGCCCCCAGGCCACTTCTCCTTCGGGGCCTCCAGCCAGGGGTATCAGGCAGACCATGTGCTGTTGCTGGAGTGATGCCTGGTCCCAGGGGCTGGCAGGGCTCCGGGCTCTGAAGCCAGAGAGCTGAATGGAGAAGTAGGGAGGAAGGGACCGCGAGGGGCTTGGCACCTCCCTCGGGAGGCCACTCGGGGATGCCCTCGAGTATCCAGGAGGCTGGTGATCTGCCAAGGCCGGGCAGGTGGGCTGAGAGACTCAGGAGCAAGGCGGAGGAGTGACTCGGGGCCGGGGCAGGGGGCATGGGCAGGACAGTTTGCAGAGGCGGGGACTGACCCCTAGGGGTCGCTGCCCGGCGCTCAGCCCCTCCCGCCGTCTCTGGTAGCCAGGCTGTACCACTGCCCGGTTTGCACGGGGGAAGCAGCGCCCGGCGCGGGGCCTGGTGGGGGGCTTGGGAGGCTACAGCGCTCAGCGGAGCACAGGTCCTCGCCGACCAGTGACTCGAGGCCCGGGTGTAAGGAGACCCGAGGCACCCGTGGCTGCGGAGCGGTGCGGCTCTAGAGCTTTCCCGGGACACCCCCACACCCCATGGTAGAAGCCGGACCCAAACAAAGGCGGGCGGCGAATAAAAGGCGGCGGAGGCGCGGGGTGCTCAGGTGGCGAGCCTAGGACGCGGATGCCTTGGGAGCTGTCCGGGCTCTGAGCAAGAGCGCGCCGGAGCGGAGCGGGGATCGCCGGCCTCCCGAGGCTCCAAGGAGATCGCTCCTGCGACACATCTGCGGAGGGCACAAGTCTGCGCGGCGGGGTGGCCAAGGACCCCGGACCCGCCGGCGCCCGCAGCAGGTGCAGTTCGGCTCGGCCGGCAGAGGTGAGTGGCACGGCCGCGGGGCGCCATCTGGTCTTGGGCCGGGGAGCAGCGCGCCAGGAGGAGGGGATGGGTCCCCGCGCTCGGGCCTGCGCGGCCCGGGTGAAGTTGCCCTGCTCCCTCGTCAGCCCTCGGGAGCGGCGCGGGAGGCAGAGCCCGTAGCTTGGCCCCCCGGGCCGGGCCCCAGCTCGCGCCAACTCCCGGCGGGGTCGAAGCAGCTACCTTGTGCCCGGGCGACTTTGATGCCCCGAAACCGCCAGGCTTCCGATCCCCGGTCCCCTGCAGATCCGGGCGGTTGGATGTCTAATCCCTAAAAGTTGAGCGGCCGCCTGAATCTTCCCCCGAGGGCTGTTGCCCCGCTTGAGCGGAGGGAGGGGACGGGAAAGGTTAACGACCCCTTCTCCGCCCGCCCCTACCCTAGCTCATTCGTGCATTCTGCGGGACCTTTCCCGGGTCCTGCGGCCCAATGGACCTGGCTGCTGGTACAGCCGGCTGGGCGCACGGGAGCCTTGTGACCCCCGGCAGGCAACGGAAGCCAAGCTCAGAGGGTCCCTGGGCTCTGCCGAGAACGCAGATGGGGTGAAGGTGAGATGGAAGCGGCGTCGTCCAGGGTTGGGGGAAGATTCCCCCCAAGAGCCGCGCTGTCACGAGAGCCAATGCTGCCTCTGGGAGAACTTTTCCCAACTCCCCCGGGGAGGCCCGCAGCCGCCTAGGAAGGGGCCTCCTTGGCCAGGCTTCCTCTCTACGGCCACTCTTTGCTCCTCGGCCGGCACCAGCTTCCCCCATCCCCTCTGATGCTCCGCCTAGGTCCCCGGGAGTCCGCGCCCCGCGCAAAGCAGCCAGCGCTGGCTCCAGGCGACCCACGTACACACAGACCCACAGTGCACGCGTACTTGCATCCATCCACGCGCGCGCGCACCCCATTTACAGACCACTCGCAAACATTCCGCACACGTATTCATAGTCCACTCGCGCAAAATGCACAGACACCCACAGCCTACAGGCCGGAGACCCTAGATTCCCTCGCACGCGGACACACGCAGATCTTCCCAGTGGGTGGACCCGGGGAGCATCTCCCTCCAGGTCCTCACGAGGCAACTCTCTCTAGACACACCGAGGAAGCCCCAGACTCGAGAGCGCTCCCCCTGATCCCCACGACTCCGAATACTCAGGCTTCAGGGCACGGACACGCGTGTGCATTCGTGTGAAGACACACGCACACACGCGTGCGCGCGCGCACAGAGTCCTGCTCCTAAGAGGCAAGCAGCCGACAGACGCCTGGGAAACAGCTCCTCCAAGGCATCTGCCCAAAGGAGGGAGGAGGCTGTGGCTCCAACCAGCTCCGGGCAAGCGCCCAGCGCGGCGGACAGGCGCCTTGTCTCGTCCCGGTCTGAAGCTCATTTTGCTCAGCTCCTTGCCCCTATGTCTACTACTCAAACCCATTGCAGACACATCTCCTTCCACCAGGGTCAGCATCCTTTGCTTGTGCTGTCTCCGTTTCCCTGCTCGCCCCCCCCGCCCAGTTGTCTTTCATCCTTCTCCCCTTTTTGTGGTCTTTCCAGTCCACCTGCCGAGCTCCCGTCACTTCTGTCCCCAATTTTCCTTAGCCTGCGTCTGACCTCCTTCACCCCGATGCTGACACAGCTGACCCCGGGGCAGCTGACTCCATTTTCCCATTTGCCTCTTTGGCTGCAGACTTGACACCTTCATTCCTGTCTCTGGCAATCTGACCCTTCCTGGCCCATAGCCTCCCTTCCCAGGGAATCTTCTGGGGCTGGATGCTCCAGAGCCCCCACGGTCTCTCCAAGGGGCCTGGAACCTGGAGGAGGAAGGTTCTGGAATCACCACAAGCCCCAGCCCCAGGAGATGTGGCCCTTTGAAGAATCTGGTGCCCATGCCATGGCCCACCCTTTGACGCTCTCCTGCTGTTGCTCTAAAGCCCAGAACACGGGTAGAAAGAGGCATAGTCATGGTAGGGGAAGGACCACAGGTTCCCAGTGCACCCTTGGGCAGACTACTTCCCTTCCCTGAGCTCCAGGCTTCCCGTGTGTAAAAGGGCAGGCCTGGCTGAATTGACCTGTGAGATTTCTTTTTGGCCCCAATAATCTGAAATACTGACTCTAGTGAGTTTGATTTGGGGGGGATTAAAGATCATGGTTGTAACCCTGGAGGTTATGGAACCTGCACTTTCCCCTGGAGCACCCATCACTGCTAGAGTCATCCTGTCCCTTATGTAAGGGATGTTTGGATGATTTCCTTTATAGGACCAGACATGTCAAATAATTTTCCTAGGGTTACACTGCTGAAGTGCAGTCTCTGGAGGCAGCCAGTATCTTCTGCATGAACCACCAATTCTTCTGGTAGATGCTTGGTAGTGAGTAAGTGAATGAGTGAAGAGTAGAGACTTAAACTCAGATCTCTGGAGCCCCCAGTCCTTGGGGTCATGATTTAAGCTCTTTTCTCTGATGGTTTAGACAAGCTTTCTGGTCTTCCCAGGCCCCTCGCTGTGCCTGGTCATTCAAAGGCAGATCAGGCTGTCTGAGACAAGGTCCTCCTCCCAAAAGACAGACTCTCAGCTGGCTAGGTGTGGCCCCAGAGAAGGAGGGGCAGAGAGCAGATTCAGAGGTCCTGCCAGGGGGAGGGGCTTAGCAGTCAGCCCCAAGTCCCCAAGGCCTGGCCAAGCAGACGGCAGTTGGTTGTTGGTTGGGACCTGTGCTAAGGGAGAAGATGATCATTACCACAGTTTGGCCCAGTGGCCCTCTTCTCACGGCCCCGTGAACTGGGGCCTGCACAGGTGGCCTTTGCAGACAAGCAAAGTGAGATGCCAAGAGCAGAGGTGGTTTCCTGAAGGGAATCACCAGCCCATCGTAACAATAGGCACCCAAGATGGTGGTGATGGTGATGGAGACTGGGCTCCATAGTGACAATATTATTGTGGGCCTGGATGATTCCATTAGCATTATTTTAATCGAAAGCTCAGTGGTTAGTGTCTTTGGTTCTCTTCCCCCTCTTTGAAATGGTTTCCTCACCTGCACTCCATTTGTACCCCTCCCTACACCCAAATGTGGAGAAACAGGGACTGTCAGTCAGGCAGAGGGGTTTGATTGTCTGTCATTCTAGGCAAGGAGGCAGGATTTGCCATTTGGAGTCCTCCCCACCAAAGCATATTTCCTGCCAGAGGAGCCCAGGGAGGTGTCAGAGTCTATCAAAACACCCTTCCGAGCTGGATTCCAAAGCACTGGGGCCCAGGGAAAATAAATAAAGAGAGCAGTGTTGGCCTGAAATAGGCACAGATACGCATGGTTTCCACAAGCCAGGTCTCATGGGCAGACAGGGCAGCTCATGCTCCAGCTGCTTGACAAAGGCCAAAGACAGGGATGCTGCTGCCAGGACCCATCCCAGAAGGCGCCAGAGCCTCCCCAGTGAGCGCATTCCCTGCCGGGCCACTGGGAGACCAGATGGCTGCGGCCCCTGAGGGTGGTGAAAACTGTGTCTGTGTCAGTCCAAGCTCCGTGAAAAGGCTGATCGTCCTTCCCCCTCCTCATGGTGCAGAGCGGTGATAACACTGCCAGTTGTTGAGCACCTACTGTGTGCTGTGTGGGAGGCACTCATGCCAGTCATCTCATTTACGCCTTGCAGCTATGCAGCGGCCTAAGAATTGTCACCCTCACCAAATGCATGGGAAAACAGGGTTCAGAGGTAGAAGATGCTTGCCTGAGGTCACACAGCTGGAGGAGCCAGAGTTTGATCCGATTGAAGTTTGATCTGACTGAAGCAAAAGTGGCCCTTTTGCCTAGCACCCTGCTTTGTTTCTAGCTATTCATCTGTTTTATGTCAGGAAACCATTATGTGACGTTTTTAAAGAATGCTCATTCCTCTGCCAGCAGAGTTAAGGGTGAGGACCGGTACTGTCACTTGAGTTTGTCTCCCCATGCCAGGCCCAGGCACCTCACCTCTGCATCTTAAGCTCTGTCCTCAGCCTGAGAGCCCGACCTGTCTCCTGGGGCCCTCACTGTGAAGGTTGAACTTTGAAAAACAACTCTGAAGATGTCAGAGCTGTGAGATGCTTCGGCAGATGGGGAGATTATTCAGAGAGGCCAAGCGAGTTGGCCAGCATCACACAGCGTGTGGGTGCCAGAGGCTGGGTCTCAGAACCCCAGGGTGTGCTCTTGCCGTGCAGCCCCACCGGCTTTCTCAAATGTGTGCCATGCGTCCAGTTGCTGCCAGTGAAGGGACTGGACCGGTGCAGGTGGGAGGCCTCAGACCTCCCTTCCAGCGCTGGCGGCAAAATGCTGTTGCTGTTCCTGCTCAGGTCCTCTCCTGCACATCCCCTCTGGCCTGAATCCCAGGCCCCCACTTAGTCATCCTGACGATCGGTAACCAGAGCAGACACAGGACAGGAGCCATGTGTGTGGCACTGGCGTCACCCCACAACCTCCCCAAAGGAGGCAGGGGTTTGTATTCCTTTTCCCAAGACTAGAGAGATCGAGTCACCTGCCCAAGGTCACACAGCGAGTAAAGGGCAGGTGGAGCCCCAGCCAGCAGGTTCAGCCTAGGCCCGAGGAAGGGAAAGGCTGGGAGTCAATGCCAAGGGGGTGGAGGAGCTGACGGGCAGCCCCGGGCTATTTATATTACACCTCCAGCCTCGTCACAAGCGCTGGCTTGGGTGCCAGCAGCATCCGTGTCTCTGCCAAATCCTGGAAGGAAGAAGGCTGGAGCACTGGTCTGGGAGCAGCCACCAGAGTACACTACTGAAGCCCAGATCTGGGAATGTTTGTCCCAGAGCTGGGGAGAGAAGCTGCTAGGGAAAGTGTTGCTGTATTTGGCTCTGTGGGCCCGTGGTTCCGGCATCTCACCTCCTTTCAGTTCCTCCTTCCTAGCGATCCAGCCTGGGCCCCTGGCAGTTTGGCACTGGCTTTTGATGGCAGGTTAGGGTTTTGGTGTGTGCCGCAAGGGAGGCTATTGAGAATGAGGAGCTTCTGGGGACAGCGGAGGGATCTGGT